ACCCATGTTCTGTCACCGTACTTTCACCACAGCAGCTTCTGTATACAAGTAGCCCTTTAATATAACATTCAAATAGTCGTGATTTAGTTTTTTTTTTTCTCAGGTAAAGCTCACACTTGAATTCTTCTCGCAACAGAAAAATGACAGGGAAAGGCTTCGGTGGTGCTGTGCTGCTAAATAATTACGCCGAGCATGCACCACACTCCAGCCACTGCTCTTGTCTGGAGTCAGCAAGGATTAGGAGGTGCGTAAAGGCAACCAGGAGCAGGGTACGAACTCTGAGTGCTCACAACACAACAGCTACAAGGCCAAGAAGAAGAAGAAACCTCCCTACCCTCAAACAACCCTCTCCCACTCATTGAGGTTTATTCTTTTAAAGACCCTGGTTGTAACCGGCCCTTTGCTAACTCCACCAAACACCTGTGTTTGCCTTTGAAGCGTCTTCTCGGCAACCACAGACCCATGGGATATTCAAGCAATGAGACGTTCAATAAAAGTCTCAGTAAAGTTATTTATTCTCCTTTGGAGCAAAAAAAAATAGGAGAAGGCAGACAACACGGCTAACCTTTGAAGGGGGGAGCTACTCAGATATCCAGCAAGGACATAAAAACCAAGGGAATGACAGGGACATCCTACCAGAAAACAATAAAGGGGGTGGAAGGGACTGTTTTTTATCTTTAACAGCAGCTGTAAAACACACACAAAGCTGGGGTCTGCAACAATGGCCCAGGGGCAGGGGAGGGTGGCTAAAACAGAAGTGGCAGGAAGACCACCGCTTCCCAGACACAAGTGTCTTCCTGCTGGAAAGAAAGGAGACTGAAAAATGGAAGGGGAGAGAGAGAGAGAGAGAGAGAGAGAGAGGACAGCTTATGGAAAGGGAGACAGAGCAGATGTAAAGGAAGGGGAGGCTCAGCCAGCGAGATGACACAAACGTGACCTTTGATTACATGGGGTGTTTAGAGCAGTGCTCAGCCATGGACAGCCTCTGAACCCCCTGCTGCTTTCACACAGCCACACCTCAGCCAGAGCACACTGATCAGAACAATATGGCTGAAAGATGAACCCCCAGCCATAAATGCCAGCAGTAAAGACAGCTCCACTGTGTCTCCTGCTCTGACACTGTCCAACATCTGAATCCCGGCCTCACAGCCAAGTGAAGACCGTCTCCAAGTCTGCGCCGGAGCCAGCAGAAGATAAAATTACTATTTCAAAGTCCTTGTAAATGAACTGGTTGAATTAAACCACATTAGAAGCATTTACAGGTCTGTGTCTCACCGTATCAGCCAGCACAGAGACGGAGAAGTTGCTCCAATGTCACATTCCCAGAACACAGTGCAAGTGTAAACTATAAATCGACCACCTGACATGCATTACAAATGACGGGCTTGTAGTAGGTGAAGATGGACAGAGGCAAATGCAAACTGACAGAATCGCAACCGGCTCTAAGTAACATGGTTCAGTGAAGAAAGACGGTAGGAGTGTGTGTTCGCATCTGTTGTCGTCTGATTGCAACCAAACTCACAAGTCGGCGCGAACGAAAGAAAGGAAAATTTCTCCTAAAATATGTTGAAATTCTGTAACCCTGCAAGCAACGATGCCAAGGGAGAGTGTTGCAACTGCCATCACTCTTTTCAGCAGCGAGGGCGAAGGTAGCGTTCACAATAAATACCTCTGCAAAGTCAGAGGAGCCCTTTCAAGGAGCCACATCAGAAACCTGCCTCTGAATGCATTTTTACATCAACTCTGAAATATTCATGTTCTTTGTAAAGTATTCATGTGAACCAGTGTGCAAGTTAGTCCCCGGGGGGAAAGTGCAGAGAAACCGAACACACTCAGCAAACAACATGCTCAGTTGTGCTAATGTCGCTAGCACACAGGACACTTGAAGGAGCGCTAATGACCTGCCCTGTCAAGATGAACAGTCTGGGACCAGTTTGGTCAGACACCCTACAAGCAGTTGATGGTTCTTACATCCAATGACTTGCTTTATTCATTTGAGGAAACAATGAGTGGGGGAAGGGGAGGGAAGAAGAACCACCGAGGAAAAGTTTAACTTAATAGCAGAATCAAAATCTTTAAAATATAAAAGTAAAAAATACATGGCAAAATAATTCAGTTTTTTCCCTTTTAATTAAATTTGATCAGAATAAATGAAGAGTTCATTTGCAAAAACAGATAACTCCATTTTTGTAGATTTTCAGAAAACGTTTTTTTTTTTTTTGTTTGCTTGAGATAATATCTCTCAAACTGAAGTGGATCTGACTCAGTAGAAATGACAAAAATAAAGAGAACTTAAGTTTGATTGATATTGTCTCAGGTAGACGATGGAAAAGTGGGTTTTCTGAAGGTTTGTGAAGATGGAGCTATCTGTTTTTGCAAATGAACTCTTCAAATTAAATTAAAATTTGAAAATGTACATTGTGTTATTTTTTCCATTGTGTCACATGGATTTTAAAGCTACAGTGTGTGCTGTATTAATAAATTATCAATCTTTTTTTTAGCTAAGTGTCGTTTAAAAAATAAAAAGCTTTGCCTAAAAAGATCCCATTTTGCCTTGAAACAATGTGCTAAATGCCCTAATAATAAGAATTAGGATTTATTAACGTCCACAGTGTTTTAATTTTAACAGAAAGCGTCGACTGTTTTCACAAAATTACCATCGTAAAAAAATATACGCCATGAAAAATTCAGAATTACGCTTCATGTGTCATCCACTTATTTTCATTATGACATGCTTGACATTTTCAAATATTATTAAAATAATAAATCAAGGATTGCACATCGACAGGGCGCAATAACACAACAATTCTAATGGGGCCAAGGGACGATTTTGGAATTACGTGAACTTGTGTCGAATTATTCTTTATGTTGATTCAATCAAATGCCTGAAATGTAAAGAATTAATCATTTTCCAGATCTTGAGGGTATTAGACTGCTCAGCAGTCACACCCATGCATCACTGATGAGACTGAGGAGAACAATAAACCACCTGTGCTGCTCATTGAACAGTGATGACATTTGGAGGGTAGGTCTTCATGTTGGTGTAGCACAGTGCAACAAAAGAAACACCGAATCTGTTGCATGAAGGAACACTTTTTACCCTGTGGCCAGCATTAGCCTTCATGCTCTCAAGAAAACTTGTGGAAAAAAACAAAAATGTATTTAAAAAAAAACATATGGATGCAGGCACTGTATGTGTGTGTATGTGTGTTTGTGTATATGTGTATGTGTGTGTGTGTGTGTGTGTGTGTGTGTACATACGTTTGTGTGTGTGTGTGTGTGTGTGTGTGCTGCCAAACGCAAACATGAATGGTAAGAGATGAATGGCGAACAATACTCATGAATTCTCCTGAATGACTAATTATGCCTCATGTTTAGCACGATTTTGCAAATGAATTCAGAATCTTTACAAATACTACGAATCTAAAAAAAAAATATCCTGGTTAGCCTACTTCAATGCTGCCTACAGCTGAGCAGGTTAATGAGATATTAATCGTATAAATAAACAAACAAGTAAAATGTAAAGCAATGCAGGACAAATTGTCAGCGGTGACTCTGATGCTGTCTTTAACCGCCTACAGTGAGCCCACCTGATTCTGGTATAATTTTAGCAGGTATATAAAATAACTTAAAAGGCCTAACTATTTCCTTTGCTTTCCAGCAACCCAAGACTCCTCAGCTGCATCACAAAACCTGCGTTTTCAGAGGCCACATTAACATATTTTCAAAAGAAACTGTATCTGAAGTGAAACTGTTTGATGCAATCAATACGCCACTGTTTTGACTCATCTTATTTAAATGTCTTTTGTCTTACATGGCAGGACAAAATAAAAACAATAACATGGATTTTGTGATCCACTTCATTAAAACATGTGTGGATTAAGTACATTTTCTTTAATGGTGTTTTTTTTCCCTCCCCTCTGAACACAAAATGAAATGTGTATTTAAATTCAACATAACATCTGCACAAAATGCCACATATGAGCACTTAAATGATCATAAAAAATCAAGTAAGACTGTAAATATAAGCACTAGCCAAGGTTTTTGTGATTTTAGAGGACTCTGCTGGAGCTGAGTTTGTTGTGTTTTCAAAAAATCTTTCAGCTGCTGCTCAGTTCCAGAAATGTCCAAATTGTCTATGTGGACACAAAACGTGTGTACTCATGTTTGTAAACGTGCACATTCGGGTACACATGATACCCAAAGTCACTTGTTAAACCTGATGCATGCACTGTGAACACATTTGCACCCCAACACTTCAAAGCCTAATATAGAAGGAGGATTTTCTTGCATTGCTTTTCCCCCTCCTGTAACATCCACACGCTGGGAGCCACGCAGACCTGCTCATCCCGCTTCTTCCTCGCACCGCTCGTGGCTCTGAGCGTGGCGCAACGGTTCTTAGTTAAGTGATGGCATCGGTTTGACACTTATCAATTTAACGTGAAGTGACAAAATCTCATTTCAAATTCTGCCCACCAGAGCCAATGGGGAAGCAGTGTTCCAGCATCCCCAACTTCCTAAACTAAAACAGATCGTAAATGGCATTTTTTTTATTTTTAAAAACAAAACATAAATACCATGGCATTTACCTATCAAATGACTGTTCAACAAAGATGTCTCCGGTGCCTTTGAGATAGTTAAGCTACAAATGTTGATTCAGCTTTAATGAGAATTCCTGATCGCAGCGCCAGAATAAATGGAATTTTCACCTGATTTATTAGCTGATATTTGAAGAGTGAATTCTGTCAACGAGCCACACATGAGCAGCCCTTTTATTTCCAACGTAGCGCCCTCGTCTATTACTCTCTTTTTGTGCAGAAATAATCAGCTTTTGTGCGACACTACGCATGCAGGCCATCGTCTATTATTCACGCTGATAAATGCACACAGGATTTACAGCAGCAGCAGCATCTGAAACAACAGCGATGCCGCGATGGCAAGACACAAACATTTCACCTGCAGTATTTCTGTGTGGACAAAATCAAAAATGTTTGACTAACCTGAGTGGGGAGCCATCGGTATGTGTGAGGGGTAGTATTTCCCCGGCGGGAAGTGACCGGCGTGCTGCACAGAGCTGTGGCCCGAGGGAGCGATCCGAGAGGCGGCTCGGTGCACCAGGGCGCCCCGCTCTGAAAGGAGGTGCGCCGGAGCAGCGAAATCCCGTCCTTCCATTCCGAAGAATGTTTAGTAATCCGAAATCCGGATAGGGCAGGTCAGAAAAATCAAACCCATATAATAATCCTTCCCTTTCGTATTTATGTGTTGCATTCAGTCGATCGCAGGCTTCTCCAGCCAAAAACGTAGCCCCCGATCATCTTTTCTGTCAGACGAGAAATCAAAAACATAATCAGGAAAAAAAAAAAAAACTGGAAAAGCCCAGATAAGAACAACATGATGCAAACATACTGACATTGCAGCCTTGCTATTTAAAAAAAAAAAAGAAAGCAAATCATTAGTGCCGCTTCATTGCATTTTGCTGTAATACCTTCCTGTCATATTAAGGTTGATGCTGCATGGAGATGAAAGCACCGTTTTCGACCTAAAACTGATTGCACAGAATATGCCATCGCAGATACAAGCGGCCAGCGAGGCGTCCAGAAGCCCAGTGAGCTCCAGCCTCAGCTCTATTGATCAAGCCTGGGATGCAGGCCTAATCATATGGACAAGAGCACTTCATATTCCACAGGCACAACGAGCACACTGACACATTTCAGCTTTCTATAGATCCTGTTTCATTTAATACTGCTCACATTAGATTTATTCCAAAAAAAAAAACAACACTCCAGATCCATCCACCACCACGACAGCAGTTACCAGCTGTCACTCACTTCCAAACGCTTATTAATATGCAGCCTCCGATATATATATTTTTTATGCATCGCGATTCCTGCGATAATCTCAGGAAAAAAAAAAAAAGACGCAGTAGTTCTGTCAGAGGAGGAAGGGTGTTGTCCTGTTTGGGTGGGTTTAAAAAATGATGGAAGCCTACTCAGCCTACATCTCAAGGTGAACAACGCTGCCTGCCTTCTCCTGCTCGTCCTATTGTCTCGGATTGATGCAGGCGTTTTTCTGCCACTCTAATCTCCATCCAGCTCTAAACTACAGCTCCTACATTTTTTGCACAAAGTGGCATAAATAGCGAATATATTTTTGCACCATCTGCAAGCTAGAAAATAATCCAGTTTGTGCTAAAACTGGCAAGTGAAATAATATTATTTTTTTAAAATAACCAACAACAATAAAATGCATCACATTCATCGAGCAGATTTACAAAGAAGTCCTAAAAGTCTGGAGACATAAAGATATTTTAAATAACAATGTAATTAAACTAACACAGATGCATCAGCTCCTCACACTCCCTCTCTCGCCTTTCCTCAGCGTGGTGTGTGTGTATGTGTGTGTGTGTGTGTGTGTGTGAGCGTGCACGTGTGCGCGCACCCGTGTGTGAGTATGTGTGTGCATGTGAATAACTGCACTCTCACTGTCTTCATCTGCCTTGACCTATTTCAGGTCAGGTAATCAAATGGAGTAGTAAATACATTATAGGCTACATCCTCTGCCACGCCACAAAAATAGCATTATTTAGTCGAGATGTGGAAAATAAACTGGATTTCATTGTAAAATATATATATATATATATACACACACATATGGTTTGGGCTTCACCTAAACGTCATGTTTAATTTTGGGGACTCAGTGATGCATGTCTTAAAAATAAAGGAGGTGGCTTGATTTTATATTTCCAAATTTTAAAATATATCAATAAATGATTGGTTTTAAATAGTAGACTCTCACTCTGGGGCCCTGCTGGGTTTTCTTTTTTCGAAATGATTGCAAGGGGGGGTCCCCAGTGCAAAATTATAATTTTAGCATAAATTAAATAACTAAATATCCACATACATGAAGCTCCTATAAGAATGAGACGCTATGATCTCCCCACGTAGCCTACAGCCTTCAGTGCTACATCAACAACAATAAAAATCGCTCCATACGCAGGTTCCAGGGACAAATCCGTGCTCAGGGAGGCTTTCCTTGGGTAAGATCGGAGCATGCATGTGGGTTCTTAACGAGAAACCGTCAAAGAAGCCTCTTCTGCAGCCCCATTATCGCTGAGCCTCCAGTGTGAGGACTGTAGAGGATCCTGGGTGAATGGCCGCCCGTCAGGAGGACTGCCTTTGTCTCCACACTGAGAAAGTGCTTTGCAGTCGGCCATTACCTTCCCCTTCGCCATGCTGTTACCGTCAAGCCTTCCCTGTGTGCACCACTGACAATCTAAGAATAAAATTATTAGGCATTTACGACATCGGTAAGCTTCTGCAGGTGTGTACATCTTCGAAATATACTTTCACGGACATTTAACTGCTGCAGCGTAAATGTCCACGTTCGCTTCCTTTCACAAAAAAAAAAAAAAAAATTGGCCGAAATGAGCGAATTCGTCCATCAAAAAATCATAATAATTAAAAAAAATGATCTACGCCCCAAATGCTATTCATTAAGCAGCTGTCAATTTCATTTGCAGAATCAAATCGACAGCAGAAAAGCGGATAATAAATCAAATTACGCTCAAAGTGTTGGGATCGTGCAGCGAAAGACGAGGCGGCCCTCCGTGACTGAGCTGGCCGGCAGGGAGTGCACCTCGGCCGGGGCGTGTAAAGACACGTCTCCCGCTCTCTGGCTATGCAAATACTCCGCTAGAAATTGGTAACAGAAAAAAGGAACCGAGGTCGATCAATTTATTATTTTTTTTAGATGAGCAATTTATCAAAAGGATCTGAAATGTTACCGCGCAGGAAAAATAATAATAAAAAAAGGATACTAGCTTGTCACCTTTATAAAAATGTAGGATAATTCAAACAAAACATCAGCAAGGTTGCCAACACGGACATCAATAATAATAATAATAATAATAATAATAATAATAATAATAATAATAATAATAATAATAATAATAATAAATTAAATTGTCGGTTTATTCCACATAGGATACATCTCATCCTCATATTATTTTGGAAATTAATAGCAATGAACTGTATATAATGCACAGCATGTCACAAATAGCATTTTGGACTGAATACAGCCACTGCCATTTCACAACGAGGAAACAGGCCCTAGAATGTTTGGTTAAATTAAAAAAAAAAAAAATGTATATCAAGTACATAAAATTACTACTTACTGGTATGTTAAATCCTTGCATAACAATAAATTATAAAATCACAAAACTCGGGGAGGGAAGGTGCAAGGCCAAGTGCGACGCCCATTTAAAATCAAAATCTGAGATAAACCATGTGGCTAGAGTGAAATCCTACAGTATTTCCATCTGAGGCTGTGCAGAAGCCTGCTGGTTCAGTCTATGGAAGCAGTGGGACTGGGGCTGCCGGCCTGGCTGGATTGCGGCTCGGATCTCCGAGCAGCGGTTTCTCTCCCGGTGCAACTGCGTACCTCGAGTCTCGGGGCAGGGTAAACACGCCCTCCCATTGGTCGGATACCTGCATGTCAATGAGCTCCTGCCGCCCGCCCGCACAGACGGACGCCTCCGATTGGTCGACGGCGCAGGCCAATGGTGTGGTGACTGGCGATGCTAAACAGAGCGAAGAGCGCCAGATTTAAAGCTCGGGATGGCCAAATCACTTACAATAGAGCTCAGTGCACCGTGAGCTCAGCTTAAAACTCACAGCAGATGAAACGGGTCCGGAGAACGTGAATCAAGTTAGAACCAAAAAAGTGAAATTGGCAGAATTGCACTTTAGTTTATGCACGACTTTAGGGAAACTCAGTGATCTCATATTGCTTTACTATAATAAACATAGATTTGTATGCAACATCTAGGCTGTGGACAGCTCACTCAAAAAGAGGGCAAGTGGTGCTTACATCCCTGCCTGTGTGACATTTAGCAGGCAGGAGCCTGAGCAGTAGATAACATAAAGAAACCAAAATTAATACATTTTTTAGAGATGCAATTCAGTTCATGCTTTTCCAAATGTCACCATAGTCTGTCATTTAAACAAAAAAAAAGTGTTAATATCACCAGAATAGCAAGTTTTAAATGTGTTTATATGGTATATGTGCATTTTTATGGAAATGTAAAGAGTCATACAAAGCACTTAAATGTGACCGGTGCAAAAATATCATGACACAAGACAAAACAGGAAATTAAAACATCAATAAATGCATTTTTTGAGGTGATAATTTAAATTTTTTTGTCTAAATGCATCAATATCACCACATAATAAAATGGCGCAAAAATAAGAGTGTAAAAAAAAAAAGTGCTAAAGAATAATGACACAAGACAGACTATGTAAAAAAAAAAATAATGTCAATGCCAACAAAAGTGCAGATATTTTTAGAAGTGCATCTCAATGCATGCTTTCAAGATAACACAAATCTAAGTTTGTCACTGGAATCAAAAAGAGCATTAATTAATTAATATCAGATATAGTGGCACATATAATTATTATTATTTAAATAGACAGATTAATATGCGTTTTTCATCTGTCACTGCAATCTCCAGTCTAATTTGAAAACAAGTCAGGATCATGGTGTCTATATTTTTTAAGTCTTAAGAGGCATTTAAGGCTTATTTGACAAATTGTTTCTAAAGTAATTCATCTGAAGTCTATCCTGAGCAATGCAGAAAGACAGTAAATTCCAAAAATCTTCCAACATGTTATTCTATGGACGCAGGTTATTACAATATTCTAAATGTTTACAAATGAAGCCTCCTTGTATGCACGCTTCTGATTGGCTGGCACCGTGCCAGAGCATTGTCAGTCACAGAATGTAAACAAGACTCTGATTGGCTGTTGTCCAGTCCGCATTGGGCTGTCCGGAAAAAAAAAAAAGGCAATAACTGGCCCTGCGGTTTCAAGGCGTCCCGGGTTAGATGATGAAAGGGGATAAGAAGAAGCGGTTTCCAGGCGCCCCAAAGGCGGACCCCTATTGGCCCTGAAGCCATATGAGTCAAGCGTGAATCAAAGGGAATACTGCAGAGAGGGGGAAATTATAGTTGGATATTTAAAATAATCGAGGTTAGTTTTCGTCTAAATGCGGACCAGCAATGACTTTTTTTTTATTTTTATGAAAAGCCGTGAAAACAAGTGAAACGAGGTAGAAAAAAAAAAAAAAGCTCCGGTTGTGGATCAACCCTGCCGAGGTCCGCTTTAATGGAGAAAATCTGCATGGAGTCTTTCACCATTTTAAAGCGCGGCTGGATGAGGTTTGTCGTAGTAAGGTCGTTGTGGTGAAAGTAGAAACCAGTGCAATTTGTTTCAAGTAATTTTTTTGACTTGGGAGTTAATCGGATGATAGCGTTGGCATGCTGTTTTTTAATGGATGTGGTCTGGCTGTAGTCGCTAAACTCAGATTAGGGTGTAAAATGCTTTTTGCTCGGAGCCAGGCGGAGATAGCGGATTGATATATGTGAAGACAATGTAGAGACGATCGTACATGCGGGGTGCAGAAATAACGTTTGTCTTCTTTCTATTTAACGACTGTTCTGCTTGACTGAAAATACTTTTTTTTTTTTTTTTTTGGAGCCCCCGATTGCAATCTAATCTGATACAGCCTATTAAATATAGTTTTTTTTTTCTTGTCTTGATTGTAAGAATAATAAAGACGTCATCATTTCCTTTCATTTGATAATTGTTCTACACAATGCTGCATTAGGAGTAAAAGGGGGAGAAAAAAAAGGTTATTTAACCACTAGATCACAGGGAAATGAAACACACACGTGGGCCAATAATATTTGTGACACACACAAAAAAATCTAATTCAATTATTTCCACCGTTTTTTGTGTGTTAGTATCCCTTGATTCACTGAGGAATATTTTACTATTAATCTGACAAAAGAAGAAAAAAAATAACTATATTTGGGGGCAGATTAAATCTCAGATGGTTTGGTGTTAGTCAGAATACAAGGAGCCTGTTCCCATTGCTTAGCCCTCTATTAATAAAAAGAAATACTAAATATTTCTGATGTTAAGCCGGACTTAGCTAATGGATTTTTTTTTTGGTGTGTGGGTCCACTCAGTGTGTGCATAATGTGCACTGCCCCTGTGTGAGATTTTACAAATGGCCGGCTGCATTGCTTGAATACTAACTTGTATTTTAGCAGAAGGTGCTGGAATTTCATCTCATCATGAGCTCTTCTCAAGTGAGTGCATGCAATGTGAAATAGTCAAAGGGGTGGTGAGTTGTGCACAGGAACACACACACACCCGCACACACACTAGTAAGTGCGTGTGCACGCACGCCCACACACAAGAGGCAGAATGATAATTAATGCGGAGTGAGTGATTTCTTAAGAAAAAAAGACCAGTTTTACGAGGAGGATTGTCCTTGATCAATGAAGCGTTGATGATTGACAGCCTGCGCCTCCCACCCACATCTACAGACGGATAAAGGGCCCCTGGATATTGGATAGACAAATTCATTGTCTATATGCTTTTATTTCCACACATAAAATACTGAGGAGCACTGTGAGCAGCTGATCATCTGGAACTTTTGACCGTGATGTATACGCTTCATGTGCTGAAAATATTAGCGAATGGCAAATTTGATAGAAAACTCTTTAGGTAACTCAGAGAAGTTGTATGGATAGATTTTCCTCAAAATGTATCAGATATAAAATATAAGCAAAAAATATTTTTAAATAGAGTCACACAAGTTTAACATTCCAAAACTAAAATTGACTGGCTGGTGTGATGTGTTGAGTTTTGTCAAGTCAAATCCTGAAACCACACGAAGACCTAGAGATGGTTGGTGACCGATGACCTGTGACCTGCATGTTTGTGTGTGTGTGTGACCAGTCTTGTTTGTATAATAGTCCATATTGAGCCAATTAATTAATCTGCCACATCTGACTCACACACAAACAGATATATCTTAATGTATTAATTACATACAGACAAAGTAGAAACACATTTATCAGCTTCCTGTGTTGAAAATACAAATAACCCCATGTTTTTTTTTTTTGGTTTTGTTTATCATGGAAGGATTGACATAATAAAAATGTGGGAGATGGGAGGAGGTAAGTGTGTGTGTGTGTGTGTGTGTGTGTGTGTGTGTGGGGCTGCTACGTAAGAATTGTAGGGGCATATGGCTGAACCAGAAGCCTATTGCAGAGTGGCACTGTATTTTAGACGGCACCCAACGTGGATCTGTCTTCACTTCAAGGAAAGAATTGTTGTTTTAACACACTAATAAAAAATATTTTACATTTTATTTTGAGATAATTCCAGATGTAAATCTCACTGAAGAGCAGCTGAAACACATATCAGTTATAGGCAGTCTGTGATAACCAGGTGCCCTAAACTCACATCACACTTTCTGTGACTAAAAAACAAAATATGATTGAAGGCATAACTGTCCAAAAGCACCAGCAATACATACAATTGTGAGATGGGTCAGAGCTTATAGTATGGAGCACAGACACACACACACACACACACACACTTATCCACTATAGATCAAATGCTGATGTACAAGTGTATACTGACGTCTTTAAAATTAAGATGACTTAACTTAAAATGAGCCTGATGGTGCTGAAGCGTGCAGGACACTTGTTTAGATAAATGGAAAAGCTGATTTTTTTTTTGCACTACAAACCTACAGTCCAGCGACGTCCTATGGTGTATATGTCCTTCTTTACCTTCGGTTCACATAACCTGATGTCACATTTTACCCCACTTATTACCTCAGTATGGATTACGACCCCTAAAGGCCCACAGTAAAAATAGTAACATGTGAGAAGTTCATCACCAGTCACTGTTACAACTCCACGCTATTAACATTACATGAAACATTTTTTTAAAGCGAGCTGTTGTGTTTTTAATGCTCAGATATGTGGTATAAAATCTAATTATTACACGTAATGAATTCTAGCCATTCACCACAGATCCGACTGATAAACTGCTTTAATGTCTTAACGTGATGCTCCCCCGGTCATGTGAGCAAGATGGCCGTTGTTACCAAAACGCTCTTGTTTGAGAGAAAAAAGGGGGGTTTGTGCATGGTGTGATTGATTTCTACGCCAGCTGCAGGTTGAAGAAGCATTGCATAAGCATCACATGGCTGAACTGGGCAGCGATCATGTAGATCAGTTTATGGTCCCAGACACAAGCCTGGTATCTCCCAGATCCAGGTCCGGCCATGGCAAGTCAGCTCAGCTCTTTGGGCTTCCTCTTTTCATTCACAAAGCTTCTGCATTCATTTCACACAACTCGCCCTTTATTCTCTTCCCCTCGCGACACCCTGAATGCTTGTTGGGACTGATTTATTAGGATATTCTGATTTCTATTGCCAGTTTGACAGAGAAATAATACCACAGGATTTTTCTTGGCAGCGAAATGGTGAAAATGAAGTCTATGTATTTGTCCTGCTTACATTGTAACATAAGAGA